TCTCTCGCTATAAGTGTGTGGGGCTTTATATGTGATTTGAGTTTTAGTAATGTTTCTTTTATGAACATGGATGCATTTGTATTTGGGGCATAGCTGTAAGAAATGACCTCCTTTATCTCTTTTGATTGATTTTATTTTAAAATCTAATTTGTTAGATGTTAGGATTGCTACCTAACATCTTGGGTCCATTTAATTGGAAATCTTTTCCCAACCCTTAACTCTGAGGTAATGTCTGTCTTTGAGGCTGAGGTGTGTTTCTTGTATGCAGCAGAAGGATGGGTTCTGTCTTCAAATCCATTCTGTTAGCCTGTGTCTTTTTATGGGTGAGTTAAGACCATTAATGGGATATTAATGACCATTGATTGCTCATTCTTGTTTGTTTTGGAATGGTTGATGGTGGTGGAATAATATGTGGATTTCCACCTTTTTTTCCTTTTGGCTGTTGGTAAGGTGGGATTATCTATTGCTTATGTTTTTCTGATTGTAGTTAACTTCCTTGGGTTGGAGTTTTCCTTCCAGAACTTTCTGTATGGCTGGGTTAGTGGAAACATATTGTTTAAATCTGGTTTTGTCATTGAATATCTTGTTTTCTCCATCTATAATGATTGATAGCTTTGCTGGCTATAGCGGTCTGGGCTGGCATCCATGGTCTCTTAGTGTTGGTAGAATATCTATCCAGGACCTTCTGGCTTTCAGAGTTTCCATGGAGAAGTCAGGTGTGATTCTGATAGGCTTGCCTTTGTATGTTACTTGGCCTTTTTCCTTTTCTCCTCTTAATATTATTTCTTTATTCTGTATGTTCAGGGTTTTTACTATGTGGCAAGGGGACTTCCTTTTGTGGTTCACTCTAACTGGTGTTCTGTAGGCTTCTTGTACTTTCATTGGCATGCCTTTCTTTAGGTTGGGAAAGTTTTCTTCTATGAGTTTGTTGAATGTTTTCTGCCCCTTTGAGGTGGTTTTCTTCACCTTCTTCTATACCTATTATTCTTAGGTTTGGTCTTTTCATGATGTCCTATATTTCTTGGATATTTTGTGTTAGGGATTTGTTAGACTTAAGATTTTCTTTGGTTGATGAATCTATTTCCCCTAGTGTATCTTCAACACCTGAGAGTCTCTCTTCCATCTCTTGTATTCTGTTGCTTATGCTTGCATCTGTAGTACCTGACGTTTTCCCAGCTTTTCTATTTCCAAAATTCCTTCAGACTGTGGTTTTTTAATTGTCTCTATTTCAGCTTTCAAACCTTGCACGTTTGAATAGCTTCTTGCAATTCTTGCTTTGTCTTTTCCTCTCTTTCATGCATTTGTTGGATTTTTTTGTATGTCTTTTCTTGCATTTTTTGGTTTGTTTTTTCTTCCATTTCTTTTAGGGATTTTCTCATATCCTCTTTGAGGGCCTCTATCATTTTTATGAAGTTGTTTTTAAGGTCTTTCTCATCTGCTTCATCTGCAGTGGGGTGTTCAGGTTTTACAGGTGTAGAGTCTCTAGTCTATGGTGGTGTCATATTGGTTTTTCTGTTGCTGGATGTGTTTTTATATTGTCTCCTTCCCATCATTTCTTCCCATGGGTACAGAAGGAGTCTCTTCTGGTGGTTATGTGACCACGGTTCCTTTCCAGTGGGTGGGAGCAGGCCAATATCCTGGTGGCTTTCCTATTGCATGAATGGAGGCCATCCTAGTATCAAGACCTTGGCAATCTTTGGGTAGGCTAGACCCTCACCTGTCCCATTGGTGGTGCGTAGGCCGGGAATGCTATCTTAATAACATGTGTCCTTCAGAATTCCACTTAACATTATTAGGTGAGCACCAGGCTAAGTCCATATTCCATGGCACTCATATGACAACCATTCTGGATACTGAGTTGATGTCTAGGTTTGTTTGGGTTGCATGTGAGCTGCTGAGCTGCTGTATCCAGGCTGTCTGGGATGGCCTCACAGTGGAAGCTTCAGGACTTTGAGAACCAGGAGATGGCTTGCATCGAGGTTGGGCAAGACCAGCCGTGTTTGGTCTGCCAAGGACCTCATAGACCAGCACATGCTATGGATGCTGAGAGTATAGATGGTGAGTCAGGTGCCTGGATTCCAATCGGCAGTTAATGAGAGGGCAGGTTAGTTCACTTCCTCGTACCCTACTTTGCCCCTTATAGATGTGATGGATGATACGAGACTAGCACCTTCCTCCAGCTTCTATTCAGACCTAGAGGATGTGATAAGGCCCCAGGATGCTTGCAGTCCTGCACCAGCAGGGGAGTTAGTACCATGCATAGTAGATGCTAAAGCCAAAGGCTATTGTTATTTCCCCTCTTGGTGCTATGCCTGAATTACAGCACAGCACCCCCCCTCCCCACAGATTAATAAGCTGGAATTCCAGTCTGAGGTGTCAGAGTAAGCCTCTTTTCAGATAGGGTCTTAAGTAATCGTTGAAATAAAGCTGTTGGGGGTCCTAATCTAATTGGACTGATGTAACTAGAAGAAGATGGAATTAGGGCACTGGGTAGGAGCCTGGAAGCATAGAGGAAAGGTTTCACAAGCACACAGAGAAGCTGGCCACCTGTGAGCCAGGGGTCGAGCCTTCCTGGAAGCAGTCCTACTTCTCGTTCTTGGATGGTGTCTTCACAGCTGTGAGGCCATGGAGTCGGGACTTTACACGCTTGCTCTGAGGTATTAGGTTGGATATCCAGCACAGCCCAAGACACAGGATTAGGAGTGGCACAGGCTGGGCTGGGTGTGGCTCAGGGAACACAGTGCTGCTGGGCAAACATGAGAGCCCACGTAACTCATGTACTCACGCCAATGCTAGCCACAGAGTGTGCCTGTAATTGCAGCACTACTAAATCGGGATGGGGTGGGTAGAGACAGGAGAAGTCCACAGAAGCTGCTAGGCCAGCCAGCTTAGTGTGTGTAGCAGTGAACAGAAAGAGATGCCGTCTTCTAAAAAGTAGAAGTTGAGGACTAAACCTTGAGGTTGTCCTCTTGATTTCTACACATACACAAGTGTGCACACGCAAACACACACACACACACACACACACAGAGAGAGAGAGAGAGAGAGAGAGAGAGAGAGAGAGAGAGAGAGAACAAACATACAAAGATAAATAAAAAGGTCTCAGACTCAGAAATCTGGCTTGTGTCCCAGTCCTCATCCGAGTACCAGGTGAGCTCAGCTCTCTGTTCCTGCTGTCCCCCACTTGCCCAAGCAGGGATCACGGTACCATGGGAGGCCACTGTCTGGGATTTGCTCACTGGGTCAAAGCTGAATTAAGGAAGTTGAGATGGTTTTGGTGACAAGAAAGCAAAAAAGCAAGGTGTCTGCTTGCCTGGGCCCCAGGACAAGCACAGTTGGTGGCCCTGGGCCCAAGCTTGATTCTTCCCGAGTATGACCCTAGTCTATATGACCCTAGTCTCTCTGCTTCAGCAGTGAGGGAGCAGCTGCTGCCTCCTCACAACCTTCTGGCTGGAGCTCCATTTTTCTTTGAGGCAGAATCAAGACACAAATGGAGACAGCTTTGTTTCACAGATGGGGAAACTGAGGCCGGTGAATATCAAGTTAGTTTCGACTAATTGGATACTCCGGACTGTCAAGTGTTTGAAGCAAGGGTCCCTTCGGCAAAAGAAAGCCTTCATCCTTCCCTCTCCCTGCAACACCAACGCTGGAGCCTTCTATACTCCAAGGTTAGAGCCAATCCGAAAGAGGCAGGCGAGAATGCGCCCAATTGATTGGAGCAAGGCAAGTCCAAGGCGGAGCCAAGCGGCTGACTGACAGGAGCAGTAGGTCTTGGGCCAATGCTGAGGCTGCGGGCGAGCCAGGCCCTGGCTGGAGGGCAGGGAGTGCGGAGGCTCCCGAGCAGCTGGTCAGCCCGAGGTCTTTGGCAGCGGCAGTGGCTCCGCTCAGCTGGTGAAGTGATGTTCTCTTCTGATTGAGCTAATTATGCTGATTGAATTTCCTCCCTCTCCCTTCGGAGCCTCGTCTGCCGCCTCCTCTCCTGTCTCTCCCACCGCTCCCGGTAGAGAAAGAAAGGGAAGGTTTCCTTAATGTGACTGGTAATTGTTATGCACACAGTGTCAGATGTTAATGTTGGCCCTGATTGACAGCTAATCAGCCCATCAGCTGTACAAAAAGAGTGAATAACTCGGTAATTTGATTTCCCCTGATTCCCCTGCGTGGGACGGCAGGGAAGTCTAAATTAGCAATCAGGGAGGCTGTGGCAGATCCTGGAGGGCAGCGAGGAGGATGAGGAACCAGGGACTGGGGCACAGCTGCGACCAGGGGCCGTTTCCATGGTCGGGAGCCCCGCTGGCGGAGAGCAGCTCAGAGTTGCGCCCAGAGCGTGGGGTGATGGTCCCATTCCAGGGCTCCCTTTCTTGGGGCTAGCATCTGAGAGGGAGCACCTGGGGGCGTCGACCTGTACCATCTTCTGGAACCCCGAGGTGAGAGAGAGGGCGAGGGCATTTCCTAGGTGTGGCAGTGGCTCTCCACACCCCAAGTCTCTAGAAGGAGGTTGCCAGGGTTTCTACAGGGTGACCCAAATTCTTCTCATGCTGGGGAATAGAAGTCCCTTAGCTCAGTTTCTGGCAGATTCCTTTCAGGTAAAATGGAATACCTGGGGATGAAGTGGTCTTAAATGAGGCCTCTCTGGTCCTCGTGGGCAGATGTGTGTGTGTGTGTGTGTGTGTGTGTGTGTGTGTGTGTGTGTGTGTGTGTGTGTGTGTATCTCACTACAGGCATCCAATGGTGAATGGGTCCAGGACTGGGCCAAGTATTTCTATTACACAGGGACAGAAAAACAACACTCTTGCATGTGTTTCACAGTAAGTTGGCAGCTAGGACTCAAATCCAGGGCAGCTCCAGCTTCTTGCCTAGTGGGTGGGTGGGTAAGCAGGTATTTCTACTGTGGCCTGTCCCAAGTGGTCACTTCCTGCCCACACCTTCTGAACATGGCCATGAAGTCTGAACCTGGGACACCCCTATCCTGAAATCACACACGTGACTATAGCTACACAGGTGTGTCTCTGAGGCTGGGGAGCACAGACACTTGCCTGAGATCACTTTAGGAGCTACAGTTGCAGCTGGGGTCAGCCCAGACCCTCCTGTTTATTCTTTCCACTCTGCCAGAGGAACTAGGTGTGTTGGGATTGGCATTGGCAACAGCTCGCCATGGAGATGCCAGGCCTCCTGATGGCAACAGATCACAGTTGATCTTGGGTGGTGGAGGCAGCTCGGGGCTTTCCCAGAGGTGACTGAGGAGGAGGCAGAGCTTCAGGTTTGCCACCCTGGGTGTTCTGGGAACATGGTGGCCCTGACCAGAGTGTTCATTCCTGCTGTGTTACAGGCGCCAGCCATTCAAGGGTTAGGACTTTCCCATTGGGCTTCAGAGGCCACCTCCCTTCCAGATCTCTGTCATTTTTCCTAAAGGATGCATGTTGACTGTGGACACTGGCCCTGCCGTGTACAGAATTAACTTCTGCACATCCTAGGCAGGGGCTGGGTGGGGGAAGATCAGCATCTTCAAGGCTGAGACTTTGGGGAGCTGCATCCCTGGGAGACTGTTGAGAGCTGGAGGATGGGGCAGGGGGGAAGCAGCAGCTAGAGTGCTAAGAGTGAGCAAGGCTCAGGTAAGGGACAGGGCTTGGGCCTCAGCTTCTAGCAAAGTACAGGGAGGCCTTGGGGGTACAAGGCAAGGTTTCATCCCAGTGAAGAAGTACCGGATGCAGATGGGAGGAGAATGAGAGGGTGGAGGGATGAGTGTGACCAGAATGTGTTCTATATTCATATGAACCTATCAAAGTACAAATTAACAAAAAGGGAAAAGTCCATGACTTAGTTAGGGTTACTATTGCTATGATGAGACACCATGGCTGAAAGCAAATGGGAAGGAAAAGGCTTGTTTGGCTTACACTTCCACATTGTAGTCTATCATTGAAGGAAGTCAGGACAGGAACACAGATGGGGCAGAAACCTGGAGGCAGGAGCCGATGCAGAGGCCATGGAGGGCTGCGGCTTACTGGCTTGCTGCCCATGGCTTGCTCAGCCTGCTTTCTTATAGATGCCAGGACCACCAGTCCAGGGATGGATAGCACCACCCATAATGGGCTGGGTCTTCTCCTATCAATTACTAATTAAGAAAATGTCCTCCAGGCTTGCCTACACCCAGTCTTATGGTGGCATTTTTTTCAATTTAGGCTCCCTCTTCTCTGGTGATTCTAACTTGTGTCGAGTTGACATAAAACTAGCCAGGACAGTGCAAGAAACTACCAGAGCCAAGAAGAACCTAAGAAGATATGAGAACCAAATGAGCAAATGTGATTCTGAAAGTGAAAAGGAACATTAGGGGAAACCAAGGAAATCTAAATAAACTGTGAATATTGGGACCCTGTTTTTAAAAAGGGCTTGGGGCGGTGGTGCTGGGTATGAAGAGAGACTCTTAAGGCCAGACTTGATATCTAATCTTCCTGAGGAACTCTGTGAAGCTGCCTGAGGTAGGTGCAAGGGGGGGGGGCACTGAATAATCCATGCTGCTGAACTGGCCAACAGGCCTGGCTTCCAGACAGCCAGTGTGCCTGAGCAAGTGCGTCACAAAAGGGCACCAGGCAGGGTGCTGAGCTACCTCAGGACACCGTGGGGCCTGAGCAGATCTCTGCTCTCACAGAGTACACTGTGTGAGCATGCATTCCTGTGTGGGGGGGGATGTTGGGAGCAGGGGGGTGACATTACAACAACTCTTACAGGACAGTGGTAGTGGTTGCTACCATGGTTTGAGCTCCACCTTTGGACCGGGCTCTAATTTAAGGGCTTCGACTTGATAAACTTGTTAAATTCTCTAAAGGGAGCACCCCCAATTCTCCTGGAGGCCAATCAGCTGAGAAGCAGTAGGGCTGACCCTGGACCTGGGCTCTTTCAGTAGTCACATGAATGTCCTTCTGAATGGTACTGAGGCCATGGAGAAAACCCAGGACCCGCTGAAGTGGGTAGCACTGGGAGACTCACAGAGAACCCACTCCCCATGCATCATGTTCTCCTAGGAACCAGAAGGAGAGTTGGTTAGGATCCCACCTCCCAGTCAACGCCAGCACGGCTCCCAGGAAGGCAGAGCTACTGAGGCTCACCAAGTGGCATGAGTGCCAGCTCTGGGCCATGGGACCTGTTCTCACCGTTAGTTCTTGGTGGTAATGGTGGGGAGTGTAGACCCTGAAGGACTTCCACCCCCACATCTCTGAGTGCGTCTGAGAGACCCTGCTGACCCGCTGGCACTGTCCATGGCTGCCCTTACAGTCTGACCTGGAAGTTGGTACCACAAGCATTGCAGACATGAATAACACACTAGGAAGGGTGGGTGACTGCCACTCCACTGAAACCTGGAAGAGCTCTCAGTACTTGGGAGGTGGAGGCATGGAGAATCAGGAGTTCAAGACTGGCCTTGTTTACATTTTGAGTCAGAGGCCAGCCTGGACAATATGAAATCTGGTCTTAAAAACCAAACCAGGCAAAAAGCAGGCCTGTACCTTAGATTCGTGAGCTGAGACCGTAGTGGTATCTGATGTCCTGTTGTCCCTGGCCCTACTCCAGCTCTCGTGTGGATTTGCTGAAAGAGTCAAGTTCATGCTGAGGGCACAGGGCCAGTGATGCGGTGGCTGGGGTATTTAGTATCAACTGAGGATGGAGTCAGGCACACAGGGATTCGGCTGGGTATGGGCTGAACCAGAGGTCAAAAATGCAGAGAGAATAAGGGCTGTCCAGCCCAGCAGTGGGCCTGGAGGTTTGGCAGTGTTGCTCGAGAGCTCCTAAGGGGGCTTTGCTGGGGTGGGCAGAAGGAGACAACCGTATTGGCAAGTTCTGTTCTCTCCCACCTTGTGGAACACGGTGCCTTGTGGGCTAACTGAGGTCACTTAGGTAAAGGCAACCAGCCAGGAACAAGCCCCCCGGAGACCTGGCTGAGTTGCATGTGACCCTCCCTTCCAGATTAGCCATGACCTCTGCCACAGCCGCTTTTGGGGCTTGCAAGGCAGGAGCCCTCCTGGAGCAGGGTGTCCAAGGCTGGGTCAGGATGTACTGAACCTCACGTGAAGGTTTTTCCTGGTGGTGTGCCATCTCAGCCACCCCAGAGCTCACAGTGCTTCTTCTACAGCCTCCATCCTTTTCTGTGGGGGAGGGAGTGGTGGGAGGGATTGGGAAAGGTCACAGCGGTTGGAGAAATGAAAGGAGATCAGAGACTCAGGGGCTTCCAGGCAGCCTAGTGTGGAAGTTACTGTCACAGTTCAAAAGTTAAACTAAAGCCTGTGTGTGTGTGTGTGTGTGTGTGTGTGTGTGTGTGTGTGTGTGTGTGTGGTAAGTATACAGGAATGGCTTCTAAGGAGCCAGAAGGAGGTGGCCATGGAAGGGTCAGAGCCCCATCACTAGGCTGGCCTTGAGCCAAGCTCCTAAACCCAGCCTGGAACTTGGTCTAATATGAATAGCAGGAGAAGTGCCTCCCCACTGTTCCAGAAGCTTCTTAATCCACCAGAGCCTTGAAGGGAGAAGCAGAGATGCCCAGAGGGGAGCTTTTGAGGGATGCTATTTTGCATCTTAATTGCATGCTAAGTAGGCCCGTGGGCAGGGCCAGCTGCAGAACATTAGTAGCCACCAAACTGTGGTGACTCAGGCCATGGGGCCTTAAAATATTCATGTTCCTCTGTGGAATTCAGAGCCCGTGAGGGAGAATGCAGTGCTAGGAAGTGGAAACAGGGACCTGTTGGCAGCAGCCCGGTGGAAGGTGGGAAAGATGGACGGAGGTCCTGAGGCCTCCCTCTGTTCCCTGGCTCCACGCCCTTGCAGCTCCTTGTGGAGTCTCCGGTCTTCCTGGGAGGGCTCTGCCTCTGTGGCCTAGAGCCTGCTGCCCGGGGCTACTGTTCCTTCTGGGTCCATGTGAGGACAGAATCTAGTTTCCAGTTAGGGCACAGGAGTGGGGAGTCCTAGAAGTGTTTCCTGAGATGGAGTGGGTGGAGGACACAGTGGCAGAGGAATCTGGAAGGCAGTGGGGTTGTGTTGGCTCCACCCCTTTCATCCAGCTCTGGGAAGTTCTCTGTCCTTCGAAGGAAGAATTGGGCCATGTGCCTGCTGCTCAGAGCATCATGAAGCTTACTGGAAGTGGCTCTTAACCCTGCACCAACTTCTGGGTGTTCCAAGTTCATGCAGCAGTCATCAGCGCCCTCTGCGGGACACATGCCCCTCTGACCCAGGGGAAGCTGACTGAGACACCCCCACTCCCACCCCCAAGCTCCGGGATACAGAAAGGGCTGATGAGGAGAGCCAGGGAAGGGGGATGCGTGGTCTCTCCCTCCCCACAAATGACATCTGGGGGTGCAGTGGAGTACTTAACTGATGGGTGACCCGGGTTCTGGGACATAATCACAAGGTGAGAGGGAGTCGATGCTGTTTCCAGCTGGGCTGTTTGCACTTTCTGCTGAGCAGCCAAGCTGGCTGGTGTGGGGGTGCTTAAGCCAAGGTGCCTGGAGAGCTCTTGGGAAGGCCGATCTTGGAAGGACTTCCTGAATGAATGTCTGAGATCTGAGGCAGGGAGGACTGCCACAGGAGGAGCGAGCCAGGACTTGGGGCTCCTCCCCGATGGAGAAAGGCAAGCTTGGGAAAGGATCTGGGAACAGGCCTAGGGCAGTTCTGCTCTGTTCAGATATTCAGTAAGTGGTGTGGCTGAGTGGCAGAGGGGCCCATGATGGCTCTAGAAGCCTTTAGAAGCCCCGACGAGGACAGGAGTCGGAGGTTGGATGGAGTACTAGCATGTGAGGGTTTGGGATGGGGCGGGGCCAGGGGAGTCTGGCTTCTTCACAGAGGACATGGCCTTCAGCACTCTGCCTTCCTCCTTGTCTCATTTTCACTGTTTCTTGAGTGCTGCATTTTTTTTCCAGGCAGTGAGGAAGAAGGCCACATCCACAGTGGTCTAGATGGCACTAGAATCCCTGGATTTTACTCGCTCTTGCTAAGAGTAACTGAAGCCTCATAATCCAGCAAAGCCCCAGCCTGGAGCAGGAGCAGACAGACTCAGTGTGAGGAGAGGGTAGAGCCTTGAACACCCTCTCCCATAGCTTCTTTGCTGTTCGCCTCAGAAGTGAGTCAGGGTCCTTAATGTACAAGGAGGAGGTCTTGGACATGTTACACAAGCTCACTGCTGGTCCCCTTCCCCCCCCCATTGTGTGACATAAGCAAGCACACATATGGTTCTCTCATATATCAACTGTAATAATCATACTGGTTCCCTAACACTGCAGAGCAAACTCCTCAGCAGTAAGCAGCTAAAAATCACACACAGTGGTTACCTTAATTCCTGTGGACTGGAGTTGGGGCCCAACTCAGGTAAGGCCCTGCTGGACTCTCACAGAGCTGCTGCCCCAGTAGAAGGCCACACTGGAGAAGAGTCCACAGGATGCAGCTTCTCCAAGGCTGTGAGGCGACTCTCAGGTCCCTGCTGCATTTGTTTGGTCAGGGCTGCCCTCAGTTTCTGGTGACATGGACCTCTCCAGTCAGCTCTATCAGAACGAGAGCAGGAAGAGTCAGTGGGAGAAATGGTGGTGAGACAGAGAGAGAGAGAGAGAGAGAGAGAGAGAGAGAGAGAGAGAGAGAGAGAGAGAGAGAGTCTCACATGTACATATATAAGTAGGACAGATACTGTAGTATCTTATAATCTAGTCATGGAACTGACAGGTGGTCTCCTTTGCCCTCTTCTCCTCATTAGACAGATACAAACCATCATGCCCAGTCACTCAGAGGATCCAGAAGCGGACTGAAGGACATGAGGGTCCCTGGCAGCTGGAATACAGCGCTATTGGTTTTGTAGGAAATTGCTGATTTCATGAGGCCTTAGCATGGGAGCTGGTGCCTGGTACTGATGTTCTCACAGTAGATGTTGTATTCTTAAAGCCAGGCTGGACCAAGACAACATAGAGGCCAAGGCTTCTCTCCAGTTCCTCTTGTTGGCTCAACACCCCGGGGAGAGGCATATTCCACGTCTCTATCTCAAATCTAATCCACCATCTCCCCCTTCCTTGAATACTACTGAACATCACCTTTTTCTTTCACCTTAGACAGGTCTATAGCATTTGAAGTTTACAGATTTCTTAGAAATGGCAATGAAAGGTATGTATGTATGTATATATATATACATATATATATATATTATCTGGGAAGAAAAATTGGGAAGTTTACCTCTCTGTCAAATAAACAGAGCTGTGACTGGTGTTTCAGGATTGATGCAGCTCTTTTATGTACATTTGACAGCTCCAGCTTGTTTCTGACAGCTACAAGGTTTCTCTCTCTCCAGAAAAACTGGGGGAGGGAGTCACGTGATACCTTCCTACACAGAGTGCACTGCTCATGTTAAAGATGAGGAGATTATGATTCAGAGTAGCGAGGGTCCTGGTCCAAGGTCACAAAAATTGTGGAACCAGAATGTGAGAGACTGTGCAGGTTCTTTGTAACTCATCCATTCATCCATCCAACCATTCATTAGAGACATAACTTTCAGTCCCTGTGAGGGGCCACACTCTGAATCTGGGTACTGGGGGTCGGTCCCATGAGCTCGCTCTTGGATTAGCCTTAAAGAGTTTTAACATCTTCCAGATTGGGCTCGTCTCTAAACTAAAGAATTTTGACATCCTCCAGATTGGGCTAGTCTCCCTTTCCTGCTTCTGCTGCTAAACATGGGGCTGTACTTTGGGAGGGTTCTGGAGCCATTGGTTTGAGAAAGCCATTGGTGACAGAAAGATCCAAGATTCTAGGAGACAAGGAGCATATGAGATACAGTAGTTGGGCATTAGGTGGCTAAACATGAGCTGCCATGAAAATGGGGACCAAAGTTTATGGACTGAGGCAAAGCTTGACCCTTCCCCTGGGGTCCTTCTCTACCCGGCTAAAACCTAGCCTCTACCCTCCATGGCCCTTCAGGAGTTAAAACCCAGGCTGCTGCCTTCCTGCCCAGTGAGCCAGGTGATGGGATTGTGCTTAATGGTAATTTGGAAGAGTTTGGTCAACTAGAAATACATAAGGAGATGGAAATATGAAAATGCCCTGGGAGTTTGTACAGTTGGTATATTGTAGCTCAACCAGCTGTTAACTCCACCTCGGGAGAGATGGGAGAAAGAATTGCAGCCAGCTTCACATTTGTGGTCTAAACCTTTGCACTGGAGAAGCTGAGGGAGGCTTCTGTGTCTCCAGGAATATAACCCATGCTGCACTGCCTAGGCAATCCTTCAACTCAGGACATTCATGTACCAGGAACTCTGCTAGGCACTGCACATAGGGGACTGAGTCTGTCCTAGAACATGAGTATAGTCCACGAGTAGCCAAGACTGGGAAGAAAAGAAGACATTAGTGGGGTTCAGGGAGGGAGGGAGGGAAACAGAGACAGAGAGAGAGAGAGAGAGAGAGAGAGAGAGAGAGAGAGAGAGAGAGAGAGAGAGAGAGAGAGAGAGAGAGAGAGAGAGAGAGAGAGAGAGATTATGGGATTCTAGATGAACAGTTGGTGCCTTTACTAATTCTAGGGAACTTGTAAGTGCACCCATCTCTCTGCTCTACCACACTCCATTCCATTTTCTAGCTGTGTATCTTTGGGGAAATGTCCTAACCATTCTGAACTTCAAATGTCTCATGTATGAAGGAGACTAACCATCTCTGCCACAGGATTATGTGAGGGAAAGTGCACTGAAGCTTCTTATCAGCTGTGAAATGTTCTGTGCACGTGAAATGTTATGACTTCAATAGGAACAAGCTGCATCCATTCTCTTTTTTTCTCTTCTGCATCAAATTAGGATCAAACTTCTTTGTGATCCAGGGCACCCTACTCATGGTTTGCCATTCAGGGCCAAACATGGGAGACTGTGACTCTGGTGGAAAAGGGCTAAAATATTTGAATTGACTGAAACTTAGAAATGTTAACAGGAAGTAGACATGATGTGACTTGCAGATTGTGTGCAAATGAGTGAGATCAGCTGAGGATACTCAGAAACGGTTTCACAGGGCCTGGCCTCAGTGGGTGTCTGGGGGTTTGAATGAGAAGGGCATATATGTATGAATACTTGATCTCCAGTTGGTGGGATTGTTTGGGAAGGATTAGGAGGTGTGGTCGTGTTGGAGGAGGTGTGTCACTAGGGTAGGCTTTGAGGTTTCAAAAGATGACAATGCCATTCTCCATGTGCTCTCTGTCTCCCAGCTGTGGCTTGAGATGTGAGCTCTCCGTTGCTGCTCCAGATACCTGCCACCTGCTGGCTCGGTTCTGCATCGTGGACTCTGATTCTCTGAAACTATGAACTCCAAATAAACGTTTTCAAATATAAGTTTTCTTGTGCATGGTGTCTCATCATAGCAATAGGAAATAACCAATACAGCAGGCTGTAGGGTCCTCTTGTTTCACTCTCCCACAAGGACCACCACACAGTTCCAGTCAGAGGGGCTTTTGATATTCCAGAACAGAAACCCAGTCCAGAGAAGGAACCTGGCTCTTGGCCCTGTTCTTCCAGGTGCCCCCTCCTGGAATGTTCCTCAAAACTCCTCCTTGTAGGTGGCCCTTCCAGCATTTCCTTCCTGTGCTGGGACCCTTCCTCTCTCAGGTGCCTGGCAACTGTTCTTGATGTGTCCAAGAGAAGCTGCCTCAGCCTGGAGCCCTGAGTGGTTTCTGTCCTGGAACCCTCACTGCATTCCCTCCTACAGGGAGGGTCCTGGGACTGTGGGTTTTTTTTTTTTTTACAAAACTTCAGTGAACAAACGACGTTGCTTGCAAACTGTGATTCCAGTGGGTGTCACTGGCTACCCTACCTCTTGGTGTCTCTGTACCTCTTCTACTAAGGTCCTGGTGGAGAAGTAGGCCCCTGGCCCAAGGCATCCCTCCAACCCACTCCATCACCACTGGTGGATCACCTCCATCAGGCTGTGACATGCAGGGATAAAAGCTGTTCTCAGATGCACCCTGTTCTCCATAGTTACACGATGAGAGCAGACTCCTTCCTCACCGTGGCATGCTCCTAAGCCTGGCTATCCGTTTTGGTACCCTATCTCCTAAAGTTTCTAGAGAATACTGATGCTTGCTCCACTCTGAATCAACAGAATCAGAATTTCAGAAGAAGATAGGTGAAGTTCCGGGAGTGCTTCTAGGACAGTGTCTAGGACCGTGAGCCCTTGCTTCAGAGAAAGAAAACTGCTCAGCTTTGCCTTCTCAGCCACCCCAGCCCTTGAAGTTTCCCCTCGCGAGGTTCAGTGTTCCAGCCTCTCTTCATTTTTGCTACCATGCACTTCACATCCCCCAAGCTGGGCAACATCACTTGAGAAATATGACTTCTCCGCTGAACTGGGCTGTCTAGGAAAAGACCAGTCCTCCCTCCCTTGCTGGGATGTTATATCTTTAGTAATATGATTATGAATCAAATAAGCCCTTTCTATTCACAGTCCTCATACGTAAGGGCAGCCAGCCTGTTCCACCTAGTAACACCTCCATATTCCTTCTTTGCTTCCAGTGACCTATGAAGGCCTGTTTAAGTAGGCTGAAAAGTTACTTCAATGGAAACATTCATTAGGTTCCAGCTGGACTCTGGGAAAAGTTCTGTAGGCTTCTGCATTATTACCAACTTCTGTCTCAACAGGTCTGTCCTGAGGTTATCTGCTCTCATCATCCCTGCTTTGGAAGGTTTATAACAGACATCTACCTCCCAATCCCTGACACCCGCTCCTCTTGAATGTAAATATCAGATTCCATTAAAATAGCATTAGCATGGGGCACCTGTAATTAATTTTCTTGGGAGAATGAATAGTTCAGAAGGCATGCAACAGAGCAGGGCCTCACACATGGCTCAGTTCATTTATCCTAATTGATTTATATAAGAATTGTGGGGGCATTGGGACTTACACCCACTGACTGACAGCAGGGGTGCCACGTGGGCCCTGGAGTTGGGGAAGGCAGCAAGATGGATAGCTGGAGCCGAGGCCAGCGGGCTGATCACAAACAACATAATGGACCGGCCTCGGAGGTGGGCCGGCCCTGGAAGCTTTTAGAGGCTCTCAGCAGCCCTTGTAGTGCACCCAGATTACACACTGAGCTATTTCACATCATTAAACCCTCCTATCTCATCCCTGGGTACCACACATGCTCTCAGCATCAGGCTGGGCTTCAAAGCAACAGCTCTGCCAAAGCAGGTGTAGCCACTGCAGCAAGCTGACCCTGGGATGCTGAGCCACATTTGGCAGCTGTTTGTTCGCTTGCTGGCCTCACAGCCGTGAGAGGACTCCATCTGCTTCACCTATCTCTTTAGGCTCCTGCTGTTGTTGCACTGGAGGCTGGGGGTGGGTATCGCTGGTGTCCTAGACCCTTTGCGAGACTCCAGTGCCACAGTCTCCCTCCCTCTGCTTTGGCCTCAAACCCAATCTTCCTCATCTGACTGACATCCGTGGGCACTAGGAATAGTCCCTCAGGGCTGGACCATCCTGGGGGATCAATCTGCTTCTGTTCTTCTCCTGAAGCAGGAACTAGGTATCAACAAAGCAACACAGGTATCAGGGACAGACTCTGGATCTATGACACTATCTCTGGCCTCTTGGATTTCTGTTCAGTGATGTAGCTGTATGTTCCTCTCTAGGGCTTTTTTTCAGTAGATCTCTCATGTAGCCTGGGTTGGCTTTGAAGTTGCTATGTAGCTGCTAAGGATAACCTAGAACTTCTGGTCTTTCTGCATCTTCTTCCTAAATGCTGGGATTATAGTTGTGTACTACCACACCTGGGGATAACCTAGGGTTTTTGTGTGCTAGGCAAATACTCAGCCAACTGAGTCACATCCCCAGCTCTCATCTGTTTATCTCTAGAATTCCAGTCTGAACCCCTGTCTGATGTCCATGCTTCTCCCTCTGAACCCCACCACCTGGCACCTATACCTCACCTCCTCTGCCTCCAGGCTCCAGCTCAGCCAGGCCTCCATTTTTCCAGCCTCCATCGTGCCCACCTTCTCCCTGAACCTGTCTCTGGCTGTCTGAAGCTGGTTGGAGTCTTGCCTGAAGTTCACACACAGGCTCCTGTTTCACTCCCTCAGTGGATATGCTGCTGTCCCCCACAGGGTTCCTGGTTGCTCCACCAGGACCTGGCTGGAAACAGTCTCCATCTGTTCCACTCATCCCATCTGTCCAGAGCATTCATGCGCTGTCCCGATCCAGCCCTTGCAAGCTGTGTCTCTGTCCTCAGGGTTGAATCCTGTTCCCCGTGTCCCTGGCAAAAGCTTATGAACCAAAGAAGTCACGATGTTTCCCATTTTCCAGGTGTGGCAGACCCTTGGGTGGTGCACTAAGGACACCACTCTAGGAACCTGAAAACACCATTCTGGTTTTGTCCCTCCCCTTCTGTCTGTCATGGTCCTAACTTCCAGGAAGGCTACAGACTGGGACATATGTTCGGGCTCCTTAGCTTGTGCCTGTGTGGCCTTGGGTAACTGCCTTCCTTCCTTTCTCTGAGTTTACAATTCCTTATCTGGGAGATGAGGGGGTTGAGGATAATGATTCCCAGGAGTCCTTTTACCTTTGAAATAAAATGGAAAACAAGAGGCCCTGAAGATAAGGGGGATTATTATGGTAGCCAAATCAAGCTGTGCCTCCTCTCCCCTCTGCCCAAGGCTGCCACATCATGCAGGGTTTGGCACTGGAGTCACAGAAAACTCTCAGCGCAAGGGCCCTGGGCTCTCACCTTTGGAAAACGGTGCAATTTAATGGTAATGCAATTACAGATGTGCTGAGATTGAAACAGCCCATCTTATCTCAAACTCATCTTTCCCACCAAGTATCAGGGCAGGTGCTGATCCCTAATAGCTGCTGAAATGAATTCACCAGGCAGCTGGGGGCTCCCGGAGAGGAGAGCTGTGTGCAGAGAGGAGGGAAGAGAGAGGCAGCTGGAAGGAAGGAGGAAGGGAACACTTGGAGAGAGCAAGAGAGAGAGGAAACAGAAAGTGGGGGCCTGCAAGGAATGGCTCTGCGTGAGAGAGAGAGACAGAGGCAGAGAGAGAGACAGAGACAGAGAGAAAATTTCAGGCATGGCATTGAGGTAGTTTTATTTTTTAAATGTCAATAAACGGGATGATGGAGGAATGAGGAAACAGGAAGGCAAAGAGGAGGAGAGAAAAACAGGGGGGAGAAGGAGGGGGCTAGTGAGGAGGAAAGGAAATAGAATGGAGGGAGAAAATAGTGGGAGAGGAAAGGGGGAAGAAGGAACAGATGGAAACAGTGAGGGGAGGTTGGAGACAGATGTGAGGGAGGAAGGAGAGAACGAGATGAGGTAGGCAGGGGTGCTGTTAGGTAGAGCAGATGAGATGGTGGCAGGATAGTATAGGGGAGACAGCAAGAGAGGAGGGAAGACAGGGTGAGGGGATAAAATGAGACAAAGGAGGAGGCTTACTATGCAAGCACAGAGATCCGAGTTTGGATCTCTTGAACCCATGTAGAAGCCAGGTGCGCTCTGCCTCTGTCTGTCTGTCTCTGTCTCTGTGTCTGTCTCTGTCTGTCTGTTTGTCTGTCTGTCTGTCTCTGTCTCTGTGTCTGTCTCTGTGTCTGTCTCTCTGTCTCTCTGTCTGTCTGTTTGTCTGTCTGTCTGTCTGTCTGTCTGTCTGTCTGTCTCTCTCTCTCTCTCTCTCTCTCTGTGTGTGTGTGTGTGTGTGTAGTATGTGATTCCAGTGCTAGAAAGTAGAGACAGGAAGATTCCCCAGGTTCACTGGCCAGTTAGTCTAGCCAGTGGGTGAGCACCAAGTCCAGTGAGGAAAGACCCTGCCTCAAAAAATAAGGTGGAGAGCAATAGAAATCCCATGACTACCCTTGGCTTACTTACACACACACACACACACACACACACACACACACACACACACACGTGCACACACATAGAGGAAGGGTGAAATAAAGAATGAGAGAGGTGACTGGCATTGGTGGCGCACACCTTTTGTCCCAGCACTTGGGAGGCAGAGGCAGGCAGATCTCTGTGAGTTCAAGGCCAGCCTGGTCTACAGAGGGAGTGCCAGGATAGGCTCCAAAGCTACACAGAGAAACCCTGTCTCCAAAAACCAAAAACCAAAAACCAAAAGCAAACAAACAAAAACTAGTCAGAGAGGCAGGAAGGGAGCAACAGAGCCCTCTATGGAGAGTAGAGGGGAATACTGGAAGGAAGGAGGATGGGAAAGAAGAGCCAGGCAAAGAAGTCAGGTAAGAGATGCAGAGTGGGTAGGGGCAAGGGCTTGTGGGAAGTGGATGATGTTGGGGAAAGGGAGAGACAGAAGGGGAGGCAGGAGGAGAGGGAGAAAAAGGCAGGAAGGGGAGAGGC